TTTCTTACAAACACACAGCTTTTGGCTTCACAAGATGTTAACTGAAGGACTGGAGTGGTGTGGATTACTTGTGGATTATACTATGGGGCCGTTGAATGCTTGAATCTGATTGGCTGACCAGCGTTCTAAGGTGTGCAATTATTTTCAGGGAAACGCACGGCGAACGTAGTCCCAGGCAACTCTTGATTCACATTACGTATGTAAATATATCACTTCGCCAAATGATTTCAGTTATCTCAAAGGTACTTATAGCTTACAACAGCAAAATAACCAAAACCCACAACGACACTGGCCAAACAAATAAATATAGTAAGCAATAGGATACAAACGAGAGTTTATTTCCATGTTTTGCCACAAAATTACGTTTTATTATGTACGTAAAGCACATACTCTATTTCTCCCGCTCTCTCTCTCCCTTGACGCACACATAGTTTGCACACACGGATACATACGTGCTTATGTTGTTAGCGCTATCAGTTTTATCAGTAAAATAGTTTAGCAACTTAAAAGCTACATGACATTTCTCACAATCGAGGTAACAACAGCACTGTTCATGAAGAAAATTAACTTAAAGTTTCACTATTAGTGGAGACGCTGCTGCTGAACACTTTTGAGAGACACACAGACTCACAGAGGTAATTCACATGCTTTCTCTCTCTCTCTCTCTCTCTCTCTCTCTAATAACTCTCTAATGTTAATAGTTGCATAAGTCTGCTATCAACAGCTCTGTCCTCCGTTACTAGGTCTAAAATAACATTTTGGAAAAAGCAACAGAGGCGTTGGATGAGATGCGGAAGAAACTAATTCTACTCACAATACCATTTTAAGTACAAAAACCGGAAAAATGCCTTGAAATATATTATCTGATTGATGTCTTGAGATGTGGCAACCATAGCATAAGTGGAATAATTGACTCTGGGCCGTTGAATTATTAGAAAAATAATGGCCCGGATTATTCCTTACTTATTGTGATGTTTTTATCAGCTGTTTGGACTCTCATTCTGACGGCACCCATTCACTGCAGAGCACACATTGCTGAGCAAGTGATGCAATGCTACATTTCTCCAAACCTGATGAAGAAATAAACTCATTTACATATTGGACGGCCTGAGGGTGAGCACATTTTTAGCAAATGTTCATTTTTCAGTGAATTATTCCTTTAAAGCTGAAGTTGGCAATACTGTTAATTCTAAACCTGCAAAATAGCCATTGAGACAAATAAACCTAAAGCAATTTCCTGTCTTGTGGATCAGTTCTGAATGCCACGATCTATCATATTTTACTGTGACTGTACAGCAGCGATCCAGACACCTGAAACAGCTCTTTAAAATGCGGAAAGCATGATGAACTTTACTGCATGTTTGGATAAGAACGTTTGATCATTGTTTAATGAATTACTGCTGCCATGATCAACGCAAAGTGCATAAAACATCAAATGAAATTCTAATTCTTGCTTTAGGTGGCTGCTAAAAGCACAATGTTAATTGTAGCAGGCAAATAATGCTGACTTTAGTGAATACGGCACAAGACTCATT